TTGTGGATTTATGTGGTCTTGCATTGTCGTGCAGAATTATTGCACTGTCCACAAGATCCGGACGTTTATCCCGAACGCCACATCGTACCTGTCGCACCAGGAAGTCCCTGTAGTACTGTGCGGTCACTGTTCTGCCGTGAGGAACAAAGTGGCAAAAAATGACATCCCTGACGCCATACGTGACGATCACCATCAATTTGACTGGGAAAGCATTCTGACGCTAGCTCATTACGCCATATCCTCTGGACAGTACCTTTCTCGATGCCACTCGCCCTCTCTAACTCCAGTAATGCCCATCGTCTGTCTTCATCCATGAGGTGCTCGATGACGGCACGTGCCAAGTCGGTCCGCGCACTCACTGGTCGTCCCGAACGTTGCTCACCATTGGTTGACACACGTCCTTGCTGAAACTTTCCAACCCACCGTGCTACTGTACGATATGGTAGGGCATTATTTCCAAGGGCTTCTACTAATTCACTGTGACATTCCATTGCATTTCTCCCTCGGAGAACGGCTATTTTGATGTAAGCGAGCTGCTCAACACGGATTACCTCCATCTCGCACGGCACTCACCAACTGACTGATTTCAGAGCCCTCGTTACCACAGAGCCAACTATCACAAAGCCATCTGTTGTTCTGCATACACACTATGCCTGCAGAACTTCCACACGACACATATATACGTTTTTATTATATACGTTTATATATACGTTTGAATATACGTTTTGTGATCCGTTCACATATCTACAAGAAAAAAATAGTTGCCATGACTTTTGCTCCAACCCTCTTAGATTGCGATAGAATTCGTGAAGCCCATCTCGCTCACCAGAAGCTTTTTCAAATGGCCAGAAAGAAACATAAGTTAATAAAACGAAGACAACTAGATGAAGAAATGCCGGTTCAAGATGATTATGGTGCATTAAAATGTTAAAATTATTTTTTATAAATTATTAGTGTTTAAATTGTTTTTCAGTTTTTCTCAAAACATGTTTTTTTTTAAACTTTCGGTACACTTTTCTTGAAATCTATTCAGCCTAGAAGGTTTAAATGTTCCACAGTTGTTTATCTTAACTATTTCTTTGAAACTACGCAGGATATAAATTTATGACCTTTAGTTTTGGATATATTAAAAATTTAATACTACTTTTTTCTATGATTTTAAAAACATTTTACTAATTCATTTTTAATATTTTTTCTTTTCACGTAAAATGTAAAATATTGCTTATTATTCTAAAATGATATATTTTTAACCATCATGCAAAATTTGAAGGAGTTTGATGCAGTGGTTTTTAAGCAAAGTGTACAAAACTAGCACACTCTCTCAGATGCTTCGTCATAAGGTAAGAGAAATTAAACAACTGTTTTTCATAAATATTAAGCTTTAAATTTACACCTTATGTGTTTTATATAATCTACAAGCTGTCTATTTTAAATGGAAAAAAGAATTTAGAGTATACGTTTATTTTGTGAAAAGTTATACCGTAATAACCTTTGTCCCGAAATAATTGCATTTCGTCAGTCGATATGTCACATGCCCTCTTAAGTAAGCAACAGGTTTCGGAACAGCAAAGCTAGATTATGAAATTTTTCTTATATTATTTGGCACATTGTATGAAAGCTTTTAATGAAAGAAAAGAGCACCCTGTTACATTAAAATTGCTGGAATTATTTTTAAAAATAATCTGTAAGTTTTGAGTTTATTTCAATGTCATTCTAAGAAAATATGTATTCATTTTCATCTTGCAAATTCACGCCAGGATTTGTATAAAATTTTAAACAATAGAATGTGCGCCTTAAGCTCAGTTTTCATACATACGTAGTCACGTAATAGTGTACAGATTAGAAAATATTTTTCGGGAATACAAAAGTAGTAAAGCAAACGTTCGTCAGGAAACATTTAGACGCGCGATTCCGTTTTCTTTGAAACAAAAGATTCAAAATTATTTTGTAAAAGAACAATCCTTTTGTACGTTTCTGTGCAGATACAATGAGCTTTAATTTTTATCTTTTCCTCCTTTTTTTAATAATAGTAAACATTTTTAATTTATCTTTTCCTTCTTTCTCTTAGACACATTATTCTAATATTTTAATTTCAACACAGAGATCTTTATTTAACCAAACCTCATGCAAGATCAAAAGCAAGTCCACATTGTTCCCATTTTGTAACTTAGTGTGCATTCTGTGCTGCGTTATATGACAAATGCGATGTGCGTATTATGATACGCAATAAGACTTCTGCATCTCGAGGTTTTAGATGATTGAATGGTATACACTTTTGATGATATAAAAATTCTCATTAGTGATAAAAAAACTGATTTTTTAAATCTTTGTTGCATATATTTATTGTGTAGGATTCTCCACTGTGTAATTCTAAGTTACTTTTGGAAGGGAAGAATCTTAAGAACTGATGAGCGAATAATCGTATGAGTGCGTGTGACAGGGAACAACAAGATAGAAGGGTAAAATAACCCTTTATTATTCAAATAAGATTTAACAGAACCCCGTCTTGAAGTTGTAAATTAAAGCAGACACTTGGGTTTGAACTTAAGAGACTAAGAATCAAACTAAACTAATCCTAGCTAAAGAGATATAACCAAAGCTATCAAGATTCTAACAGAGTTGGCCCCTTAACGCTAATTGACTGCGAAGCTATCAAGGACCTACAGTACGGGCCGAACGTAATAATAGATTACGAGAGAGTAGCTAGCCTAAAAAGGCGGACGCGTGCAGACAGAATATCTGGTATCTCTCTCCCTAAGTCAGAAGAACTTCGCGGTTAAATACCGCTCTGCCTCATTAGCATTCATACGTGATTCTAAAACTATGTTCTGGCCGGAAGTAGTAAATTGAAATTAAAAATTGATAGGAAAGGAAGTTTAACTCAACATAACTGTTAATAAAATTAACATAATCCTTACAATTGTAAAACGAAATCCTATTAAATATTATCTTAGATGATTTTAAATGAATGTTACTAACAGTCTTACAATTTCTAAAACCCATTTTAGTGTTCTGATGGGGATATTAGCTTTTCACTTTACTCTGTAGCAGGAGATGCTTATTGATGCAGTTTCCATAATTAAAAATTTATATAAATATTTATTAAATTAGAAGTAATTTTTCGCCTAAAACATACTTTGCTGAATATAGTATTCTAAATGAATGCAGAAAAGATCATCGTAACTTCGAAAAGGCAACACTTTCTTATTACTCTTTTCCAACTGTTATAAATGAAAAATAACCAGATGTGGAAAAAAAAATATTGTCAGTCATTTTTATGAAAAATTCAAATGTATCAGTTTTCTATGTTAAAAATTCGAGTAGTTAAGTTCTATTTGTTTCTTGAAAATTATTAAAATATTATTAAAAAGTGCATATTTATTTTAAATGACTTACTTTGTATAATTTTAAAGGTAAGTGAAATATTTTATGTAGTAAAGGTTTGTCGCAATTTCCTTTTTCTGCAGGCGAAAGTTATATGGTTTTCATTCTGAATAAAATTTAATGGTTGAAAGCTGCCTTTAGTTGCTTCTATTGAATTACGTGAAACGTCTTGAAAATATGTATCTAACGTTTCAACATCTCCATACAAAGCAGTGTCAAAAATACCTTCCATGTTCAAATTATTTAGCTTTTTACTTCTGCAAAATACGTTAGTATTTTATATTCTTGAAGGCTACCATGCTCTAGTTTTTAAAGTTCAGATCCGAAAGGAGATGAAATTTAAAGTTATGAGAGAAGTTTTCGAAAAGCAATAATGTGTTTATTTCGAGAATTTTATAAGACATAAAAATTGCTTTAAAATTGTAAAATAAAAGCTTGTTATTCAGATTATCATTTGGAAATAGGGGAAAATGTATGCAATGTCATAATTAAAACGTATGTAGATTTATTGAATAACGTGTATCCTATAATTACATTTTATGTAGATCTACAGAGCATTTAATTATGAAGCAATATGCAAATTCCAAAAAAGAAGGACATTTATGTACGTTTTCGTAATAACGAAAAATGACTGATCCTTCTATTTTAACTTACAAACTTCTGCTTAGACTAATTGAAACGAAAGAGAAAAGGAAATAATTTCTGCATTTGCGTACATTTTTTCCCTTTTAAACAATGTTCGCTGATTAAATATTACTCTTCCTTTCCTATAAAAATTTTAAAAAGTTTTAAAGAGTAATGTTGGGCCCAAATATAATTCATATGTCCGTGCGATGGAAACGTAACCGTTGCATTTCTAACATATTACGGTATTTTTGGCCTTAATTTATCACGAAATATTTGGCATCATAGATTTTGGACGTCCAGCAGCTCTATTTTTTGTATGTACTTCAGTTTTATCTACTCATTTTGAAACAGAAATTCTGTGGAAAGACATTCATATCGTCACAGAGCAGTGAGTTCATTTTCTTAAGTGTAACTGATGTAAAAAATTTAGCTGCATTGAACATAAAAATAAAATTAACGATGGCTGGTCGTCTTAAGTCAAATAATGCCTGGAGGTTTAGATGGAAAATGCCTGGAGGAAATAATGCTTGCAGTTTTAGATGGAGGAATCTTACAAACTGGAGGGTTATATGAATTATTTCTTAGACTTTCATTGCAGTTTGCCTTTTCGCCAGCTCAACTGTTTACAGACTAACTAAACGTGGATGTTTAGAAAATGAAATGGTTTCGCCTACTGAACAACAAAGATAAAAGTCTTAACAAAGTTATCACAGAATCCATTAAAGGCTTTTGTATGCTTTTAAACTAAAGTTTTCCTTACTTAATGATACAATATTTTCCGAAATAAACGCTAAAAGCGTATTATTGTTTAGACCATTTTGTTTACTACAATGAATAGCTTAAATTAGTCTGTCCCATCATGTGGCCCAAAAATGAACTCTACAGTTCTATCGTAGGCACCTACCTCTGCATAGTTTCCAATTTTTCTTCAGTTTGATTACATTTATAAGGTATATCTCCCACTTTCCTAGCGTGCCTTCGTAGAGTGTGCCTTCGTGGTGTAAAGGTAGCACGCTGGACCGATATTCCAGAGGTCCGTGGTTCGATTCCCGGGGAAGGCGGTTGCTAATTTTTCATCTCGTCTGCCTCCAAATAATCCTAATGACTGTACAGTGGCGTCCGAACTAAAAGGGTTGTAGATGATCACTCTCCACACCCAGGATTTGGCGATTGGTTCCCCTGAAAACCCCAGTCGCCCTTTAAAAAGGGGAGTGTATAAGGTATATCTCCCGCTTTCCTAGCGTGCCTTCGTGGTGTAACGGTAGCACGCTGGGCCGATATTCCAGAGGTCCGTGGTTCGATTCCCGGCGAAGGCGGTTGTTAATTTTTCATCTTTCCTGCTTTCAAAAAAAATACCTAATGTTTCTACACATTAAATATTTAAACTTTTATCTCAAGTGGAATATGGTGCTCAGTGATTCCAAAGTTAAAGAATTTAATTAAATTTGTTGTTATGATTTCTGCAATTTTATGTGCTAACTTTGATCTAGGTCAAAGTTACTGTTTATCATGTCGAGTTTCTGAAATTATAATTTATCCCATGTAAAAAAGTATTTGAGATTTTGTGGATTATCTATCAATCATATATTCTAATGGATTTCAGTGGCAGCAACATGCCGTTGAGATACATCATATCTATATATTTTCAGGCACGACAGTAAAAAGACAAAAGAAGAAAGCAATAAAATACTTTGAGAAAGATAATCAAACACATGTTCCAATCTAATTATCTCTTACCATTGAAATGGTTAAAAGCTACTGGAAATATACGGCACTGAAACAACTGACCAGGTATCAGTATTCAATTGAATCAAGAACACGAATGGTAAGACACAACCGAGCTCCTGTCAAAGATAAAACAGATCCTAAAATTAGTTTCTTTTGATACTTCAAGAGTTCGTTCACAAAATGAAGATTAACATAGCAATTTTAGCTTGTGAACAGTATCAATAGAAGGAAAACAAAAACTTTGCATATGGGAAAGGTAAATCTAAGGAATACAAAAATAGTGTGTAGAGACATTACGTAGTTTTTGAAATCAGGAGAGAAGAAAAATCAGCAATGCCCTCGCCGGTACTCGAAACACGGACCTGGACCTCTTGAATACGCGCCGAGCGTGCTGACCACTACACCACGAAGGCATACTATGAAGGCGAGAGAAATACCTTATAAGTGAATTATACAACCGAACGAGGTGTTGAACACACATTTTATTAAGTCTTAATGCTAACTAAAAGTGAAGAAAAGGAAATTTTAGTCTAAGTTACTGGTGCTATCAAACAAGTTATTTCCTCCCAAACTATAAAAATTTAGTTTTGGATGCTTTGAAATATTTGCCATTTAAACTGTATTTTAATTCAGTATATCATTTCAGTTTCCTCTGAATCTTTAATTCATATCATTATAATGTTTTCTAAAAATTGTGAGTAGGGTATGTAATGTAATAAAATGTATCCAGTTTTAATTTATTATTATATTTGCACTCGCTACCTTAGCTTTGTGGAATCCCCCATTTTGAGAAGCTAAAAATGTTTCAAGTCATTCAGCAATAAATTTAGATTTTATCACTATGTTTGTACGGCTAGTTTAAAAATTTAGGGATATCCCAGGATTACTGCATATATTTCTTATTTTGTTTCCTGAAATGGGCCATTCTACTGTGCGCTCTTATGTTTTTTACAGGTTTACAGTATTTTAATTCCTCGGTATCTGATGATATTAATCTACGGGAAAGTAAACAAAATAACGCTTATTAATACAAGAAAAATTTATTTAATGCGATGATTGGTTAATAGTTACCACTTTCCTTACTAGGATTACTTCCTAGTAAGGAATTTCCTTACTAGGATTAATTCCTTACTAGGATTTCCTTACTAGGATTAATTCCTTACTAGGATTAATTCCTTACTAGGATTTCCTTACTAGGATTACTTTGTAAGAAAAATCTTTTTCTAAAAAAAATAATAGTTCATTAAAATCTGAACGCTGGCCTAAATTTGGCAAGCAACTAAATAACACAGAATGCATATCTTGAAACCTTATGTACAAACAGACAAATGTACTCATTGCTGGTTATTTCTAACATTCATTGACGTCATTAAATTTTCCATTGATACCGCAGACTCATATTTTACACATTTATCAGACATAATTTAACTGAATAATCACGCAAGATTTCAAAGTTGTGTTACATGACTGACCAAAATTCGGAGTTTACTTCTAAAATGATAGCAAATATGCAAATTCCGCTTACAGATTGCCGGCACCGGAGAATAATGTAATTTAATTACGTATAATAACACACAGTGGTTACTAATACCTGGAGGCTAAGCATATTTAATTTTTCACTCTCATCGGTATCACAGATGAATTAATGTTAAATAGAAGTAGCCTCACATAAATTTGAAAACATCCGGGAAAATTTTCACCAGCTACAATTCTCATCTTAAACTACTCTATTCATACAACCGCTAGAGCGTTTTCGTAGCAACTAAGGTAACTTTGTTTCCATTCCAGTTGAAACAATCTATCTTTCGCTTTATTTCAAGTATGTCTTAGGTGAATAAGCGAAGAGTTTTAAAATGTTGAAAAGGTAGAACAGGAAAAAGGGCTAACAACTCATAATGATGTAAAAATTATAAAAGGACTTTAGTATTTATGAAAATATAAAATATTTAAAGGTGGTAAGGAAACTAAATTCTTTATAGTTTAACAATTTGCTCTGAAGGGCCTAAAAGACTTGTGAATGGCCGAAAATGGACAACGTATAGCTGTGAAATTTATTTCTATCGAATAAGCAAAACAGAAAAATATCGTATTAGCACAACCTCCAAAAACAGAAGATTACAGTCTGTAGGAAACGTAAAACATCATTGGTAAAGCCGAAAAGAAGTACTGTCAGCTAATCTGATCCGTATTTACAGACAAGTGTAATTAATGAATTTGACTGGTGAAGCTTCAGTGTTCTTTATTTACCTTACGATTAACAAATTCTACCATTGAAGATAATTAAGTGTTCATGAATACAGTCATTATCAATCTTCCCCAGTTTTCCTCCTTATCTTCATTACATAAAATAAAAACGAACTTCTAATATGATTTTCAAGCTATAATTTAGCAATTAAACGCGATTTTAAACATGCATCTTTGATGAGTGTTGTTCGTAATCAAAATATTTATATTGGGTTTTTAATAATGAGATTTACCCTCATTCATATATAATTCTTCAAAAAAAAGTTTAGAAATAAATGCATATTAAATAAACTATGAAGGAATAAAAAACTTGTGAATGCTGCTTCTTCTATAAAACTTCTCTCTAATGTTATGTATAATGTCGACGCGTTCATAGAGCTTCTGGATAACTTCAATGCAGTCAACTATTCGAATGTCCTTTAATTCCCCTGTTACCTCGTTAGGTTTTTTCGAATATCTAAAATGCTCTCAAAGTTCTTACTTTTAAGGCGACATTTCACATTAAGGGAACTGATGGCATTCCGTAAGGTATCAAATCTTGTAAGTAAATGATGTCATTAAGAACAGCTACACATTTTCTTGGAAATAAGCTGCTTGATAATCGTTGTACTACTGAACGAGGACGCTACTATATCTCTCTGTCCAGCATTTGAAATCATTGCAGAAGATATTGATGATTTCATAAAAATCAAGCAAAAATACTTCCGTTTAAATTGTATTTTTTAAACAGGTAATCTTTTACTGAAAGTTGTGATGTGTAAATAAATTTCTTGCCAATAGTATTAGTTTGGCAGGTTCTCTAGAATTGGCTGGACATGTTTCTTGTTGAAACTTCCTAAACGCACTATATATTTATGATATATAACTTTAGAAGACTGATATCATATATTTTTGCGTCTGGATTGTCAAAATTTCTAATTTCAAGACACTGGCACTGTGGAATAAGCTACTTATATCGATCACCAGAAAAAGATCTTACAACGGTTATCAAGCAGCTTATTTCCAAGAAAATGTGTAGCTGTTTTTAATGACATCATTTACTTACAAGATTTGATACTTTACAGAATGCCATCAGTTCCCTTAATGACATCATTTACTTACAAGATTTGATACCTTACGGAATGCCATCAGTTCCCTTAATGTGAAATGTCGCCTTTATATACACAATAACGTATGAATACTAGCTATTATAACGCGTTTGCTGGTAGTATTTCTTATTTTGACAAGACTGGATTTTCTTCTAATTTTAATGAATTTAATATCTGCTTTCATGCCTTCTGAAAAACGAATCATTTGTAGAATAACGAAATATCCTTCATCGCTGCTAGAAAAGATCTGTGAGCATAATAAGGTGTTTCAGATTTTAAAGTACCAGTTTTTTAATTTTTTTAATTCATGGCGTAGTTTTACGTTTTCGTAAATGACAACCTTATAACTCTGCTGTTTTTAACATTAAGAAGCATAAGGTTTATGATCCAGAAAGTAGACCCCGCTGATAAAATGCTCAAAAATGTTATTGCTCATTTTCAAAATCATAATTAATTCGTCATTAATTAATTGGACAATAATGACTTCAGCAATTTTTATAATCAGTTAGAAAATTAATTATAATTAATTTATATTTAATGGTTTAATATTCAAAATCATCGGTTCCCAATCTGTGGTCGGGCGACCACAAACTATTCTCGAAGCCCATTCTCGTAGTTCACCTAGACCCTTCCCCTCCCAAAAAAAAAAACGCCAAACTACTATAGCTAAAATTCTCAGAGTTTAAAAAAACCGAATAATAATGTATTATCTCTTTTTCTCCTAAGGCTGCCATTTTTATAAATAAAAACTACCTCAGATAAGAACAAACTCCCGAAGTTGACCTGATGTATAAGCCGATGTAGGACAAACTCTCCGGCATACATCCAAACGGAAAAGCTGGTCAAGAATTGGCAGGTTCATCTATCTCACTAATGTGAGTACCAATATTTATTTAACTTTTAGTTAATAAGTTAAAAATTATTAAAACTTTTATGGCTTTGAATTATTAACTATTAATTGTATTACTTACTAACAATATAAATTTTTATGAATTTTAATG